CCCTCCATCTTGGCCAAGCAGAGCCTAGCAGCCTGGTCCCTCAGCTGCTTACGGCTGGAGGTGTGAAAGTTAAGGATAGAAAAGCTGCAATGCCCAGGACTGATTAAAAGAACATCAAACAGTAAAACCCCTCTGTTCTCAAAGCTGCTTTTACTGTAACAGCAACTCCCAACAGGAAAGAAATAGTGTGAAGTACAGTAACAGCCTTTAATCTCTACATGTGCTGGGCAACGAGGAGGAAATGAACAGATGACACACAAAACCTTACCAGGAAGCTTTAGCAGTAGCAGATATCCTCAATCAGCTATCTTTGGCAAGAAATTAACTTTTAGAAGATCCAGCAGTCAAAAGAAAAGCTCTAAACTCAGGAAAAGATGGAAAGGATTAAGACAGCAGCCTGTCCAGTCTGCCTCCTTGTCCAGACAACAAGCCCAGGAGAGAGGTAAATGGTTATTTTTCCTATGGTGCCTTTATTTAGATTTGTGTGGACAGAAAACCAGCAAGATTCTATTGCACATAAGAGAATGGAGAAGACAAATAAAACCCGTTTTTAAAGGACCACCAGTCCCTACCCCCTCTTTTTTATGCTAATGTGAATTCACTTATAGTATTTTCTTCCAGTCACAAGACACAGGAGCATAAACCACCAGCCAGCTCGATGGTGCTTTGAGTGCAGCGGGTGTCCACCAGGACAGACGTCCCAGCAACATACGTAATACCTCTGTGGGTCGCTAGAGGGCGACTGCATGTTGGGGCAGTCTTCGGGTCTTGCATTTCCCTTTGCTGTGCTCCAACCTGAGGAGGAACAGGAACAGAGCCAGGCAGTGCATTCAACAGGAGTATTTCTGCTGGAAAACCATTCTAATGTCTCTGAATGTATTGGAAATTATGGAGGGCTTCTAGGAGTGAGATGTTTGCTATCCTGATTCCAGCCTCTATCACCACTTTCATGATAGCTGACAGCTTGTTTCTGTGATTGTGTAGGAGGAAGTGATGTTGTTTTACCTCTCCTTGCAGCCACTCAGCATGAACAGGAGCTGTAGGGGCTGCTTGCTGCAAGGAAGGGAGGACTTAGGAACATAGAGTTACTGTTCAGTGCTCACCTGCAGTGACCCCACATGGTGAGCAACCCAGTGCAGTGTCACACTCGGGCCCTGCCTGCTGCACTGCTTCCCCTCGCCTCATCTTGCTGCTTCCCCAAGCTCTGCTTTACCACACCACCTCCACTCCGACTGCTCCCTCTCAACGTCACACCTTCATTTACCAACTCAAAATGACTGCAGCGTCTCCAGAGCGGAATGAAACTACGTGCACCATGGTTGACCCAAGGGGAAGAACAGCGCTGAGCACCTCAGCTGACAGAGGATACACCCGAAGAGCCTACAGCCTAGATTCACCAAATCCCTTGTGGACCTTCTGCAGGGAATACAGGAAACAGCATCACGTAATTGAGTGTTCCTGGGAGAGCCCTGCTGCTGCTGCTGTGAATGCTGGCTGTGATGCCTGTGCTCCTCAGGGCTGTTCCAGAAGAGAACTGCTGAAAGTGCAAAGCACAAACAAGTTTTGCAGCATTAAACAGGGAGCTCTTGCTGCAAGTCACCCCCAGACAGCACTAACCTGGCGGGGCGTGGGTAGGGCCGGGCTTGCCTCCGAGGAAAGGCTCTGGTTACAGGTGACGCCAACACTGCAGAGTTGGGGCAGCGAGATGGGAGGATCAGGTCATATCTAAATGAAAAAGAGGAGGGGGAGGAGGTGAGTCACAGCCTCACTTTTCAAGGCCAGCGTGGGGTTCGCCCCACAGCACTGTAAGTGTACATGAAGCTGGTTGCGAGGCAGACTGCTGGGAAGGAAGCAGGGGGATCCCTAACTGGAATCCTTTCTTAGAAAACACACAGCAATGAATGAGGAGTTACTCCACTCGCCCACCTTAGATGTCATGTATTTTATATCACAAATAAAGCTCCACAGTCTCTTCACATGAGTTCCCAACAGACTAAAGGAATAGAGCAGCTGTTCTGGGCTGTCACAATTAAATACACACAGGTGAGAAATTCAGTACACAATTAAATACACACACACACTCTTCCTGGGGAGCACAGATGTGAGCCACATCCTTGGCCTGTCCCCCACCAAGAACAAGGAGCTGCCTGGAGTCTGGATCCCCTTCTGAAGCATCTACCTTCCTCAGAGACGGCAGGACAGGGCTAACCTTGCTATTTCAGGTAATTTGGGGGGGGAGGAAGAGAGGGGGAGCCAAACGGAAGCACCGTCTCAGCCTTCCAAGTTTGAGCAGGGTACAAAATACAACGAGCAGCTTGAATTTCCAATACCCTTCACCCGTACTGGTTGGCCAGACAACCCCAGGTCGTATTTGCAAGATTCAGCGTGACCTCAGGGAAATTTCAACAAACAGTAACATTTCTAAGCTATTCCCAAAGATGCAGCAGAAAACCAGCTCCAGAACTGTGCCAGGTTTGTACAGTCCAATTCCAGTCCGTGTCCCGGCAACTTTGCTATGAACACGCTGTAGTCTGTCACCTTCTTGCCAGTGTCCTTTACCCTTCCTACAAGGCAGCTTATGTTAGTCAGAAACAATTATTTAACTATTTTCTGTGGTAACTTTCCAGAGGAAGGGCAGGTGCAGGCTCACTGCAGGACTGCGGCCAAGTCGTTCCTTACAGAGTTCAACAAGACTGTTAGACCAAGGCGGCATGAACCCGAGCTGACACGGAGCCCATGGCCCCACGTGGCCTCCACAATCCAGAGGACCCAAAGCAGCCTCTGCAGTTCCAGCCTCAAGCTGGGAAGATGCAGCTTTCGCCAGACTGGAGAAACAAGGACAAAGGTGCACCTGTGCTGAGAGGGCCCAGCCGCTGAGGTAGGAATCTGTGTAATGCCCCTTGTGATGCTGAGGTTGTTCCAGACAGGAGAGCCCCGGGACAAAGCTCTGACTGGCTCAGAAACCGTGGCAGAATGCTTTTCCCTGTGCAGATGTGGTTGTATTTAGTTATGCTTTGGTTAACCTCTGCAGAGCACCTCAGTTTCTTACCTTGGTGCATGTCAGAAGGTCACAGTGTGCAGGAGGACAATACAGCCTAAAAAGAAAGGCCAAGATTTTTCTGGTTAATTCTCATTAATTAATTTTTATTAAATATTTGTCAATTAGCACTTCTAGAACTTTTTCCAGAATGTTTTTTAAGTGCAGAAAATCATTCATAGGTGTGTTTTCCTGGCAGGGACTAAAAAATGCCACTGTTCATTCCAAAGGCAGGAACTGCCTTGAAGCTGAAAGCACCTGAGGTGTGCAGTACTATGGGACAGGTGGAAGGGCTGAGACGATAAAGCAATAGCAAGCTGGATCTAGAGGTGTTATTCCACTGCTTGGAACCTTAGGGGAGGGGGAGGATGGAAATCCAGAGAAGTGTTTCATTTATTTCTCTGAATACCCTCCTCAACATTTTATTCCCCTTCAAAGTTTGAGGTGTGTAGCTGAGAACTGATGCCTTTCTTTTGTCCCAGGCTGGCTGCACGTCTCGTCCTAACACTTGCTATGAGCAGAAAAAGCAGATTTGTAATTAATAGCTATTTGCTTCATTAAGAAGTGAGAGTTACCTGATGCTGAGCACTGTGGGCATGAGCTACAGGAAATGCTTTCAGCTCAGTGAAAGGTATGAACCGGGGAAAAACTGTTACTATAACTGAAGTCACCCCATCCTCGCTGCCACCCTGCGCCCCCACCCCCTGCTACACCCCCCTGAGAGCTGTGCTGCTGCTTGCTGTTCCTTTAGGTCTTTCACCTGTCTCAGAGGTCCCTTCCGCCAGCTCCGAGCCCGTCGGCCCGTGCCTGAGAACAGAGGAACGTGTCCATTAACAGCAGTTCACACACGTGGCTGGACACTGATTTCTACTGTGCTGAACGTGCTCTTCCCACAACGGCTGACAGAGCAGAAAGGAGCACACACACACGTCTCACTGAAGCTTCCTTACCTGAGGTAACAAAACCAGACCCCAACTCATTGTTGGGTCACATTCACACTTGAACACTCCTGGTTTCCTTCCAGTCAACTCATGGTTACCAGCATCTATCAAACTAACAAGAACTCTGAGCTTTCGGGGAGCTCCCCAAACCCAAACTGGCAGAGTATGGTAAAGGGAAAAGGTTGTAGTTACCTGAGGGAAGGCCTTCAGTCTGAAACAGCAGAGCTGGAACGGCTGGTTAAAAAACACAATGAAAACCTCCACATTTGACCAGGCTACAGGTACAAAGCAGCCACCACACAAACTCCAACAGGCACAACAGTAAAGGACAGTTTGCTTTTTCTTTTTTTCCTTTTTTTTGTTTGTTTCAGGGGCAGGGCAGGTACAGCACTACTGAAACAAAATGCAAAATACAAAAAAATAGAAAATAGAAAAAATGTATTTACAAGTGATACATTACTATGATCAGAAAGCACAAAGACAATTGCTGCTATAATACATGCACTGGGTCAGGAGGAAACTACTAAAAACCTGCACGGGGGCTGGTGGTAGAAAAACCAAATGAAGAAATAAAACAAAAGGAAAAAAGACTCCTCCTCCCCCCCTCCCCCCAACAGGGCTGGGTTTGAAATTTTTGCTTCCCTAGTTTGCTACATTGATCAAAATCAAATATCCCCTAAAGTCCATGAGTACAACCAGTACAAATACTACACTTGGTTTTAAACTGCAGGTTCAGTTGTGGGCGGGGGGACACCAGCAGCTCATCGTAGATCCATAGACAAGAAAGCCAGAGTAAACTGCTCTACATGCTAAAAATTACAGCAAGCCCCTGTCTGCTACATAGCATGATCTTAGCAGGTTTTCCTTTTTATTTATTCATATATATATCTATATGTGTGTATATATATATGTATAAAAATCGTGCCCTTTTTCACTGCAAACATGACATCTGGGTGGAAATGTAACTTGTTACAACAAATTTTTATATGTATACTGCAAGAAGTCACTCAATGTCTGTGGATTTAATAAGTAACCTCACACCACAGGAAATATTTAATAGATCAAAAAAACCCAATATGGTGACAGAAGAGCTTCTGTCTCAGTTCTTTTCAAACCCGAAGTCCAGCAGGAAACTGGTCCCAATGTCCACGAGGGGTTCTCTGAAGAAGCTTCAGTTGCTTAACCGTGGTTTCTCTTAGTGTTCACAAGTTTTTGAACGACTTCAAGCCGTTTTCAGTTTCAAGTCTGTCTCTTCCTCTCTCACAAAGGTAATAGTCTGGTACTAATCCATCCGAGTGAGGAAAAGAGGAAAGTGGCTGCAGTTGCACAAAGGGTCCCCAGTTCCACATCTGCAGGGAGACACGGAGCCACACAGAGCTCCAGGATCTTTGCCTTTTTCTTTTCCTCCTTTTAATACAAAGTCCTTTCATACAAGTCCCATAAGTGGTACCTTCCCAAGCACCAGCCAGTCCAGCTTCAGGAGACTACAAAGCCACAAGTTAAAGTGAAAAGGACCAAGGCAGAAGTTCAGGTCACTTCCTATCTGTTCCATCATACTTCCAGGAAACGGGAGCTGCTGGACTTGGAGTGGAAAGGCTCAGACCACATGCGACGTAGATCGCCCTGGGCAGGAAAACAGGAGAAGGGCCATGCTCTCAGAAACACTGACATCCACTTAGAATTCATGTTTTAAAATGCATGTATAATGGCAGGTATGTCTTAAAGCAAATCTATTCTTCACCTGGTTTGCAAGTTACAACAGAGACAGTAAAAAATAAACCCCCTTCCCTGTCAGGCCCAATTGTCTTATTTTGATGGCAGGTCTACCCAAAACAGGTTTCTGATGGGAAGGAAATATTTATGCAGGTGGAAAATTCTGCCCTTTCTTGTGCTCTGCAGAGCATTTGCTGTGTTTCATCAACTGCCCTGGGACCGGAAAGGCTACATTTTAAAATTCCAGTTCTGAACAAGCAACGGGAAAGAGGTAAACGAGGATCTGCCTCTGGTCTCTGCTGGATCTTTGTGCGTGTGTTCTTTCATGACCAGCCAGGCAAGGACAAATTCACGTATTTAATTAAAACAGCATTTACTCCTTCAGAATATAGCCTATAATTACTGTTACTTTATCTACATAAATCATCTTCTAGTTCAGGAACTCGCCTCTCAGTTCCTCAGTCCTCCAAAATGAAGATTCACCTCAGCAGCAGTGGTACCTGAGGTCTGGGCCAGGGCTGTTAAGGACACGCATCATCCTCATGAGAGGTGCTGCCCCATGCAAGAACAGGGAACCCGTTTCCAGCTGCCCCCAGAGCTTCCTGCTGCAAGTACATAATCCTGTCTTACCTTTAAATAGGCCATGGTGAGGAGCGGCAATAAAGTGAAAGGTACCAAATAGAGTAGGGCAGGCTGGGCTGCCCGGTGAATACGAGAAGCTACTGTTGCCGTTAATAGACCTGTGGAAGAAGAAGGGGACTGTGTTTGTACAGGTTGTATATGGATGTTCTCACCAGTTCATCCACACATGGCTCCCTTCCCGCTATTTCCACAGAGAGCCTGTGGAAAAGTTACTTCCCTGTGCTTCATCTTCCCTAAATAAAATTGAAACAAACCAGTCAGATTACTCTGTTTTACTATTAGATTGTGCTGAGCCACTTGCTCCAGTTCTGAATCTCAAAGATTAAGCTAAGAATAACTTGAACAAACTGCAACAAAAGGCAAAGGGGAGGAAGGTGACGGCACCATGCTCCCTCAGACCGTCAAGGGCTGGATACACCAGGAATTATTTTCCTGGATACTCGCCAAAATGCAGGGAGAAAGATGAGATGGCGGAGGAGGAAGGCTATTGGTAGGAAATAATCTTTCCTTTTCATCCTTGGAAGGGCTGCAGGAGGTCAGGATATGCACACACATGTCCTGACCACAGGGAAAAACCCATTTTATGTTAGGGAGGAGAGGGATGGCCACAGCAAATTATAAGCAGAATTCCAGTTGTGATTATTTACAGTTTTCTGTATGTACTAAACCATCAGAGGATCATAAACATTAGCAGTACAACACAAAAATGCAGGAATTACCTAGGTGAATTACCTACAGGTACTCTTGCACAGCATAATCCATCTAGAAACTCCTATATTGTTCCCATAGCCCAGGTACGAGCTATTGCACCTTCTATGCTAGTAAAGCAAAGTATAAGAAGTTGTTATCAAAAATACACTGATAATCTCTTTCACTCTCTAAATAAAATACAACAAACCTCTTAAGACTGCAGAAGGGTTTTTCTCCCTAGAACATGCCCATCAAACACAAAGAGAGGAGGATTAAAAAAGAACACAGCCAAGTGTTCTCTCAAAGCCTCTTTACACTTGCTTTCATCATCTTTTAAACCTACTATAATAACCCCACTTCCTGCTCACTAAGCAGCTACCCATATTAAACCAAGTACTCACCTACAAAATAGCCAATAAGTGTGCAGTGGAAGTAAGAGACCTTCTGCATACGGCCAGAGATGTTCCCTGGTCCTGGGGCACCACAGGAATCACTGTTGGCTTGCTTTTTGTAGTTATCGTAACGCAGGACAAAGCAGAGCAGAAGACCTGGCATCACAATATCGCCGATCCCCAGCATGGAGAAGTGGCTACCTGTGGAACTAGACAGCAACTGAAATTGGGTTCATGCCCAGAACACGAGGGGACAAGCTCTAGATGATTCCACTTTGGTTCTGAGCTTCGTTCTGCACATCCCTTCTTTCTAGTGGCAAACTTCTATGTAGTAGAATGCTGGCTAAATGCTGGCTACTGAAGATCTTTTCCTCAGTGATGGTGCCACCACCTAAGCTCTTTTTTAATCATACTCATTCTGACAGTAATGACATGTTGCTCCAAACCAGTTTATTTCTACCAGTAATGCTTAAGCTGCTCTTAAGTCACTCAGTGAAACAGATCCACCAATTCAGTATTTCATTCATCTCCCCAGCGTTGCTGACCATTTTATCACAGTGTTTAATACTGACACACGCTGCACCTTCATTCCCGTGCACACAGATCACCTCTAATACAAGGCAATAAGTCAATTTATGGACTTCTCAGATCTTCAGCCTCATTCAGATAGAACGCACAGAAAACTACAGTCTCACAAGATTCCCACAGAAGGGTCAACTGTTAAGTAGATTAAGAACTAAAATGGCCCATTTTTCATGAAAACGAAGCCTGATTAAGTTACCACAGAGTTGACAGAATAATTTGGGTTTTCTCATTGCAGAGAATCAACAACTGATGTCTGTAATTTCAGCACCCCAACATCTAAAGGAACAAGAGTAGAGTAAATTCACCAACATAACCTCTGTGTAACTGCTGGTGCACTGGAGCTTACTTACTGCCCATCAGGCCCAGACACATCTGATTAAAAACCTCAGATAGCACAGAACCCCTGTGGAAGAGAGATGGGGAATGATCTCCCTCCAACACACACCTACCCTGTAAAGCTGTCCCTGCTTAGAACAGTTTCTAACTCCCTTCCTAATCACTTGCAGTTATGCAGTGATCAAGACTATTCTGATGTTGTAACAAACCCTGGGTCTGCAGAATTCACACATACATCAAAAGGTGTATCCTGTTCTGAACAGGCCATTTTTAAACTTAATTAGGATCATGTTTGCCTGCTGTGAGCCAGAACATGAAGGTGTCCACGTCCTTACTGTTCATTCCATACCTTTTTATCATGAAGAGGGAGTGACTAAACAGGGAACTAAGCTAGTCTTTTCCAACAGAGTCAGCACTACTACAAAATACAGGGAGGGAAAAATTTTCTTACATAATAAACGCATAGTAAAAGAACAGCTGATCTTACCTTGGAAATACAAGTTTACCAGGCAGGGACAGACGGGGAACATCTCTACCCACATTTGGTCCCAGGTGAAGTTTCCGGGATAAAACATCCAGGGGATTATCAGCTGGTTGTGTGGCTACTTTCACCATCACGTTGCTGTTAAAGATGTAGGCAGAAAAAAAGACCTATGGAGCAAGGAAATGGTTAGAAATTACACAGCACAATCACAGAGCAGCTCAAAGCTGCGTGTCTTCTGCTTTGCTTATTCAAGAAAAGAAAGGCTATTGTCCAGATTTTCAATACACATACACTGTGTATTTGACAATAAAAGGCAAAATGTATTTAAAAAGCTCATAAAGATTTTTTACACCATTAATCCTCAACAATAACTGGAATATAATATCTGATATCAAGATACTGGTTAATATCTTGAGATCTTTGGGCAAAGGATCTATCCAGACTACGAGCAGATAGTCCAGGACTGCAGGCCCTTACTCTACAGCTCATCACACTGGGAAACCGACTGGCTACACACAAGCGCTTCCCTGGGTCAGTGCTTGGTGTTAGGCAAAAGGTAACACAAAATCCTTTCAGTATTACAAGATCTATTCTATCAGGTTTCTTGTAGAAGCGCAGTAAGATTTTCCCTGGGTATGAATCAGTTGCATTCCTGTTCTGTGGATTTCCCTGCTGATCAGGAGTTGGCACGTTCACACTGTGCAAGTGTGGATAAGGCTTTGTGTTCACTTGGAAATGCCCGTGCTGATCTTCAGCCAGGCTTTCACAATTTGAGGTCCAGTGTATCTTTTTAAATAATAAATTGAATTGCCAAAGTTGAAATCTTCTAGTCATGTTTCTGCTTCTGTCAATAATTGGTGAGGAAATCATTTTGTATCGTGCTGCAGACTTGAACGTCTCGGAATGGAGCAAAGAAGCTGATCTTCTGGCTTTGCCAGATTTCATCAACTTCATACTAGTACAATTCATGTGCAAGTGGCCCACAGCCAACTACAAATCCAAAGGATAAAAACAGTTTTAGCAAAACCAAACAAAACACTTACCCAAAAGACATCATAAATTAGTAACCCAGAGAGTAGCAAGCAGGAAACCTTCAGGCTGGGCAGCCGAACAAAGGCTATCATTGCAACACACAGGCCCATAGCCAGAGCTACAAATGCAAGCACAGAATTAGTTCATTAAAAGTAGCAAAACAAAACAAACAACATTCCCAAGCCAGTACCTCCCTCACAGAAAATCCCCCCAAAGCAGCCTCTGTTGCACCTGTGCAGCTCTGCATGCACAAGAGGACTGTCTACTACTTCCAAATAGTGAAATTCAGAGTTAGCAACAGTCCAAATACACTCCATAGCCAACTGTGAGCCTGCCCCCATGGAAGCAGGAATCCCTCTGCAGGCACAGCTGCCCACTCCACTCACCTTCTACTACCCACCACTAAGAAACGTTCTCGTGCCTTGTGTCCTAGAGACTCCACCACTGGCTACCCAGTTAAAAACAGAAGCAACTTTTTGGTTTGTGCCCCACACATAAACATCTACTTTTATGCTATTCGGAGGTTTTCTAGCAAATGCATACAATAAATAGAATCCTTGATAAATAAAATCTTAATTCAGAAACAGCCTGGGTACATGATGTTAGAACATGGTGTGACAAAAGCCCACTCAAGCCGATCACAGTCACAGAATTGTCAGTTGGGTTGGGAAGAACCTTAAAGATCACCACCCTCACAGGGAAGAACTTTGTCCTAATATCTAACCTAAATCTCCCTCTTTCATTTTTAAGCCATTTTCCCCTTGTCCTATCACTAATGCCCTTGTAAGACGTCCCTCTCCAGCTTTCTTGTTGGCCCCTTTAGGCACTGGAAGCTGCTTGAAGGTCTCCCCAGTCTTCCCCAGGCTGAACCAGCCCAGCTCTCAGCCTGTCTCTGCAGCAAAGCTGCTCCAGCCCTTGCAGCATCTCCGTGGCCTCCTCTGCTTGGGCAAGATTGTGGGCGGCTGCCCAACACCAACTATGAAATACTGTTGTTTGGATAGGCAGGGGTTTCCCAATAACAAGAATCCATGTGGAAGCCTGCCTACCAATGGGGAAAAAATATGGGCAAGTCTTTTCTTAACCCCTCTCCCAAGGGTGAATTTTCAGCCAGATCAACAAGCTGAACAGCACGGCACAGCTCACGTTAGTTCTGTTCCAAGAGGAATTCTGTCAGGGCAGAAAACTGACGTTACACTAAAAAAAAAAAAGATAATCCCAGTCTCCACATTTGTGTGATTTCCTGCTGCTTTAGGCCTAGCCTTGCACCTGGGCCAGGGCAACCCCAGGCACAGCTACAGGCCAGACAGAGAAGAGATTCAGAGCAGCCCTGTGGAGAAGGACTTGGGGGTGGTGGTTGATGAGAAGCTTGACATGAGCCGGCTTCAGTGTGCGCTTGCAGCCCAGAAACCAACCGTATCCTGGGCTGCATCAAAAGGAGTGTGACCAGCAGGTCAAAGGAGGTGATCCTGCCCCTTTACTCTGCTCTCGTGAGACCTCACTTGGAGTATTGTGTACAGTTCTGGTGTCCTTAACATAAAAAGGACATGGAGCTGTTGGAGCAAGTCCAGAGGAGGCCACGAGGATGATAAGAGGGCTGGAGCACCTCCTGTATGAAGACAGGCTGAGAAAGTTGGGGCTGTTCAGCCTGGAGAAGAGAAGCTGCGTGGAGACCTCAGAGCAGCCTTCCAGTATCTGAAGGGGGCCTACAAGGATGCTGGGGAGGGACTCTTCGTTAGGGACTCTAGTGGTAGGACAAGGGGGTAATGGCTTTAAACTTAAACAGGGGAAGTTTAGATTAGATACAAGGAAGAAGTTCTTTATTGTGAGGGTGGTGAGGCACTGGAATGGGTTGCCCAAGGAAGTTGTGAATGCTCCAACCCTGGCGGTGTTCAGGTAGGACGGAGCCTTGGGCACCATGGTTTAGTGTGAGGTGTCCCTGCTCATGGCAGAGGGTTGGAACTAGATGGTCTTAAGGTCCTTTCCAACCCTAACTGTTCTATGTATGATTGTATATGACATTCAAATATATTTCAACTGTTTACAAGTGAATCCCTAAAGAGATACATAAAAAGAAGCAAATCAATCTACGGTATCAGGACATTTACAAGGAATAATGGAGCCCTGCTGGGACCAGAGTATGCTTAAGGATGTGGACATCTGTAAGCAGATGTGTTTGTCTAACATCACACAGAATTATAAACAGTCACAAGCCTATTCCGACCAACTGAAACCAGTGAATCCAGGGAAAATAGATCATTCCATATGTGCCCACCAGCACGACAACGTGACCAGGCCAAGATGTACAAGTTATCCTTCGGACTCTCATGCTGTAATGATGCAGCTGTGAAACTATCTTACGTCTGCATTTCGCCTGCAAGGTGTGCAGCTCTTCCACCAAAACACCAAGGAAACACATCCCTGTGGATTCAAGTGGCACCGCAGGCCTGCCAGCGTGGCTGCTCGCAGTGCCCAGGGGCTGCAGCCCAGCACTGGCTCTGCCAAACCCACCTTATCTTCTGGGAGTTGATAAGCTCAGCACAGCACCGAGCATCACAGCTGCCAGTTCAAACACAGTAATGGGATTACTCTCATAAAAATGTACCTTAAATAGTGCTGCACAACTGCACTTGCTATAAAATGTAAGCAAATTACTGAGGTTTAAAGAATTTGACACAGCAAAGCAGCGAGAAAAAGAACTGCATTCAGTCATTCAATATAGCCTTCAGTTACTGACTTCCTCTGGCAGAAGAGCAAACACAAGGGAACAGTCTGTCTTAAATCAAAGAGGTTTCTCTAAAGCCAATGTTAACAATAGCCCAAACAAGCCTATATTTAGGAGTGGATTTCCAGGTTATAATTAACTAGAAGTGGAAATATTTTAACCAGCATGAGGTTTTATCTGTTGGTCACACAACTGATTTCTCCGTTACTGACAGGAACACAGGCACACAAGAAGGCACTTTCATCAAACCAAGCAAAGACTGGGCAGAAAAGGACACGGAAAAATGTCCTTTAGATGACAGTGAAATACACATGATAATAATTATGCGGTTTTGCAACTGCCTTAAGAAATATTGGTAAATTTAAAAAACAGAAGGGAAGCAAGGATGCCTTAGAGCAAATACAAGTAAATCAGGCCGACAAGCAGTCAAACCACTGAGAGGCTTCTCAAATGGAAGCCAGCTTCCTTCTGCAATGAGAAACTCTAGAAATCATGTGGGAAACAAAGTCATCTGTACCCAAGCTCATGGATGGTGTTGACACATTGTATAAGGCAGATCTGAATTGAAATACATTATATAAATCATTAAGAAAGAGAAAGAGAAAGAGAAAGAGAAAGAGAAAGAGAAAGAGAAAGAGAAAGAGAAAGAGAAAGAGAAAGAGAAAGAGAAAGAGAAAGAGAAAGAGAAAGAGAAAGAGAAAGAGAAAGAGAGAAAGAGAGATAGGAGAGAAAAGGGAGAAAGAAAGACAGAAGGTGGGGAGAGAGGGAGAAAGAGAGAAAAAGGGAGAAGGGAGGAAGAAAGGAAGAAGGGGGAAGAGTGTGTGTAGTGAGGGGGTGTAAAATGGCCACACAAAAGGCTCTGGGTAGAAAGTGCTGGGCAATGAAGCTGGATAACGAAGCCGAGCAAGAATGAACTAACTGAAAGAGTCAACCTTCAACTAACAGAACAAATGAACCTCAGGGTCCCTGCAAGCATGCTCCTTGCAGAATAAGGATATTGTGAGGACTAAGTATATTCTCACGTACATGCTCAGGCTCTCTGGATACAGTGTGGTTTTCAGCTTTACTGCACTACAGAACAGATGAAACCACCAGGATGCTGGTGGTGTGGTGCTGGTTTACAAAGCATTGTGCAAGCTACCAAGGTTTAAGCTTCCCCCACAGGCCACCAGTTGACCTCTGATAGAAAGAGGTAGTGAAGTTTTGATCTAATCATGTTGCTTTAAAACTCTCAAAGTGTACTTTAAAGAGTGGGAATAAGAACACACGTCAGGAAGCAGCCTCTGCCCAGTGGCCGCAGCAGTGAAAGCCTGCAGCAGTTCCCAGGGTATCCGTGACTGTTCAGTTCACTTTGTAGCTATAGACAGACACTGTGCACATCTGCAGCATTCCCACTGTACATCTCTAGCTGTGTCCTCTGTTCAGGAAACCTGTTAACCAGGGGACAGTGACCATCCTTGATGACTGTCATCAATCTGCTCTGAGACATAAGCATTTCAAGACCTATAAATGTGCATCATCACATGCCAGAACAACCCCCTGGAGACAGTATCTGCTCATTCTATCCTGTACAATGCCCCTGGCTTTAGAAACAGTTCAACCAACTACTGCACAGTTGGGAGAATTGTAGTATTTGAGCAGTGAAGACAGCTCTGGCAGTAACCGCCACACCTCAATTTTGTAAGGACTAGAAATGACCATGAAGTACTCCCCCTCCTTTTTACTCGGCTCTAAAGTAGAAATACTCTCACAGAGAGAGAACGAGCTCCACATCAGCAAACCAGACACACAAAACTTGAGGTGTACTGTCAGGAGGAGATGCCTGCCCCGCTCCTCCCTCCCACCACTGGCCCAGGCGACGTGAAGCCTGTTCACAACATCTGGTTCATTCTGAGACAGCTCCGACTGCAGCACAGCCTGCACAGGCCCGCATGGGCTGAGGGGCTCCACTCGCATACAGGGTCGAGCAGCACTTACTGCCCATGTTGCCCTCCAAACAAGATGAACTAGAGTCTCAAGGATTCACTTATAGAGAAGCAAAGGGTAAAGGCAGAGATGACGTGGTCCCATTTGCAGCAGTATAGTATCAGGAGTAAAACTGCAGAGTCTGTTTCCTTGGTGAAGGCAAGTAAATGCTGTTCCCTGTTCAGTGTCATTGACAAACATTGATTTAGTTGGATTTGAACAAATGACATGAGCCTTACCTATAGAGTTCAAACTCTCTTCATATAAGCTACATAAAATGCACCAAAGCCAAACAGTATCACCACAGTTCAGTAAACTCTAAACAAGCACCAAGAGGAGTAAATCCCAGAAACCATTCAGCACCAGCAGCTCAGTGCCGTGCAGATTAATTACCTCAAAGCCCACTATTTCAGACTGAAGCACTCACAAAAACAGCTATTTTTAAGGAAACACTTCTGTTGGTACCTCCGTGTAGACAAGTCTTTTCAGATTTTGCCAGAATCCATGCCTGACATCCCGTTTAGCTTTGTAGCTCCTGCAGATCAAAAATCACTCTTGATTTCATGATGGGCTACCCTGCTTCACACGAACCAAACTTGACCTGCATTTTTTCATTTAGTGTCTGGGTGCTGTAAAATGCATTCCCTCAACTACAACAGGTGGAACTTTTAGAGCAGCAAAAAGCACAAATGAAACATAACACTTGTAAACAAAAGAAATATTCAAGGTGCCATGAGAGGTTTCAGTGCTAAGGACTTGCTGCTGCTGCCTCATTCCGGAGGAGCTGGAGAGCGGATGTGATGTAAGTTTTCTATTCCAACAAACAACTTCAAGGGCAGGTAATGTTGTCCCAGCTATTTTTCCTCAAGCAATCACAACCTCAGGGTGCCATTTCACAAGATGTCCTATGCCAATTTAGCTGCCTGACACTGCTGAGAAGCGGAGGTCTTGCTCCTGGCTTCCCCATCATCCCTTTGCAATCATATCCACTTCATCCTCTCAGATCCTATCATGCTGCCACTTACCTTTAGCCAAATATAGCACATACCTGACTGCACAATAATCCAATTCATCTTACTGCAGCAGCAGCAAAATAGCCTGGCAAAAAAAGAGTACGCTGCCATTCTAGTGAGCTGAATCAGTTTACCATGTGATTAAGTGAGTGCCAGAGCTAGCACAAGAGCTCTGGGAGGCAGGAGGGGAGGAGGAAAGCTCCTTTTCAGCCCAGTAAGCTGTGAATTCAGTTCAACCAGCATGACAAAAAAGAAATCACACCTCCAAGCCAACTGGATGCCTGCCAGCTTCACCCACCTCCCCATCCGTGGCAAGCATCAAAGAGATCAAAGACAATCAGCTACTGTGAACTGTCTCACAACAAATTATTTGATCATTTGAACCAACGAACAAGAAGATGCACAGCAAAAATTAAGCAGATTGTAAAGATGAGGTTGTGACTCACAGACACCACTGCCTCCACACATCTTTAGCTACAACTGGCGATTCACCCTCACCACACAGGTGTGGAATATCTTTCATGAGTGTCCTGGCACTTCCTTGGAAGCTTTCACAAACCAGAAAAACAGGTGTCCCAAACACTACTCTGGCATGTTCCTGACAGTGGCTGCTTTCAGGGAGTCTACCACACAACAGTACAGCTCAGCAAGCCAGTATTATGTGCACATTTCAGCAGTCGTCACCAGGGGATGGGATTTATCAGAACAGGCACAAGCCACTCCTAAAATCCCCTGATTCACATACTCACCATCCATAAGGAGCCAGTGGCCAGTCAGGACCCAGATAAGGACAAGCATCACAGACAGAGAAAATGAGAGCAGCTCAGCAGCAGTGAAACGCCCGCAGCAGCCAAAGGAAATCCTAGGAACAACATATAAACATTAGCTAGAAGATTTTATGTTTCCATTTAAAGAACAGAAAATGGACCCTGCTGGAACAAGGCTCAACTGCTGATGAAAGATGCCAAGAACAACTGAGGGGAAGTTCCTTTGCCACAAATAGGTACCAAAACAGCAACAAAATAAAAGCTTTCCTCACATTCAACTACTGTGTGTAAAGCCTGAACTACAGAGATGGAAAACCCCCCTGTAAATCTTGGCACCTCTCTTGAAATTGTTACCATGAATGCTATTTCCTAGCAGCATCTAAGATAGTGCTTTTTGCAAGCATGAACTCCAGCCACAAGGTTAAAAAAAGAGATCAGTTTCAGAACATGACATTAACAGCTGTAATATTCACCGGTTTAACTCCAGTCTCTGAAAGATCCAGCATTAAAATCCACAGCCCAATGTTAATAAACATTAAAATCCAATACCAAATCCTAAACTCTGAAATCTCAGCCAAAATAAGCCAAACTTGTTAAAACCCACTGTTGGGAAATCTAGTCCCCTGCAATGGTAGCGCATTTCCTCGGCTGGCAAGCATGTGTGACTTGCAGAAATTGTGCTTCCGAGTTTCAAAGTGGAAACATGGTGTTCACACAAAAAATATGCACAAACATCAGCCCCGAAGCCCTGAGGTCAATGCTCAGAACCAAAGACTCCGCTCAAGAACTCTCATTAAAAGAAATAAACACAACATACAAGAAGAGGAGCAAAAGATTGTTCAAGTCCTTACTTGTTTTGAGGTGAACAAGGCCGTGTTAAGTACTGGCACATCGGGAGCAGAAGGAAAGCAAAAGCTATCGTCGCAAGGACTAGAAAAAGAAGAAAAGGCAATCTTAGTACATTCACACCTAACTTCTACAGTACACAAACAAGCTTCTCCAATCTGAAAAAGCTCTTGCAACAACGTCCTATTATCATATGCTGCAGTATTATTAAAGCAAGAGCAACGAAAGGCTCCAAGGTTTTCTCCAGAACTTCTGGTGTTAGTAGGCTTTCAAACTGTTGCCAAAATAAAATCTCTGAAAGGAATGCAATGGCCAGTCCCCAAGCCTTAAAAAAATAAAATAAAGTCTTGAAGCTATTCATGATCAGCTCAGCAAGAAAAACAGTCCTCAAATATTGTGAGAGTCAAAAAGAAAAAGAACTTACTACAAACTGGTTGTGAGGTTCTTTTAAAATTCTTCAAGATGTCCTACAAAGTCTGCAGAACTTATGGGGGTTTTCCACTTTTTAACTCCTCCCTCCCCCCCATATCTCACTCTAACCCCTTTACTCATTACCAAAACAAGCAGAACTTAAAATAAATTACAGCCAGTAGCTGGACACTTCACTTTTTTAAAATACAAAGTGCTTTAAGTTTTTGAAAGCAGGACAATACAAACCCATACTTATCCAAACAGACTATTCCCATAAACATTTTCTTTTTAAGGAGCATACTTATCCCACCCACGCCTTTGTGAAAACCTTTAGTAACTGCTGGTTTGTACAATCATTTTTCCTTCCAGCTCTTTTAAATATCCTAGCACTGAATTTGCACTAAGGACTGCTTAAAAGGCTGCAGAGTGAGGGCCAGGAGACACAGACAAGGCAGCAGCACACGTACAAAACTCCTGTAGCAAGAACAGATGGAAGTGGAAGTGGAAGAGTTGCTCGACACATTCTGCATGCTGCAAATAAAATCTTCGTGCTGCCCTCTACTCACTCCTTAAACTGGGGTGGCTGCTGTTGGGTTTTAAAAGGGATTTTTTGTTTTTCTCTTGTCAAATGAAGAGGATGGGAAGGAATCAAACATTCTCTCTAGTACACAGCCTAAGCTAACTGGAGAAAAGAAACGGGATGTGGTCAAACCACGTTTCCATCCCTCAATCCTGCCCCTTCTGGTGGGAGAGAGATAAAAACAAACAAACAAACAAATAAATAGATTCATTTAAAAAGAAAGCTTTAAAAAGCGTCTGTAGGCAAAGAGCACCGTGCAAACTCCCAGCTCTCTCAGTATTTCAGAGAGGAGGAAAGAAAGCAGAATGGGTGGGAAAAGAACAAACAGTGTGAGCGTGGCAACTCCGCACATGCTGAAACAGGAACCTTTCCAGAGGCACCTGGCAAAGTTCACTACCCAGCAAGGCCTGTGCCCTGCTGCCCAGGTCCTTGTGCCACCACAGCCAGAATGACTCCTCCTCAGCCCAGATTGACCCTCTTTGCCCTTGGAATCTCTCCCTTCCCTCCCCTCCAGCTCCTCTCGGCAGGGAACCCTGCGTCTCCTGTCCTGTATCCGCAAATGCTGCCACCCCCAAGCTGGGCTTGTTCAGAGTATAAGAATTAAATGTAATCACACTAATACAAAGTGCCCATGAGTACCCACTCCCAGTCTCACTCCTGACTGTCCAGGCTTCCAGTCATAAGTTTCTCTTCCCTCCAGTCTCAACACCTATTATTCAATGGGCAATCCTTTGGCTTAGCTCCTGCCTGCAGGCAAAGCGCCAACTCTTCAGTTCTGGCCCCTGCTCAGCAGCTGGTCCTGGCCCTGGCCTGTCTGCTGTGCCTGCCCTTGCTCCTGACTCTTCCCGAGAGACAAATCCTTGTCGGAGGAAGGTTTAAGAATCTGCCATCAGCTGTAATGTAGAATTTCCCCACATCATCCTCTATAATTTACAAAAAGAAGATGTAAATAGCACTACTTCAGCTTCAGGGGACAGAGGGTTGAGTCCCACAGCTCCCACATTCCCCACTCCAGCAGGGTTTGCATCCTGCTGTGCATTTCAGAGGGTCTGGGGCCTAAGTGCCCTGAGCTTAATGACACCCTCTGATGCAATGCCATGGAAAAACACAAAAGTATCGTAAAACCAGGTTAAAGAATAAAGATACCCACATACACGGGTCCAGACAGACTCAACCCTCTTAAAGCTGCAACAAACCCCAACTGACACAAGATCATCTGATTACACACCACAAATAAAGTTATAAATGTCAAGGTCATTCTGGAAATTAATGGACCAATAAATGCGACAAATCAAAACTGGTCTTTTGTCATAAATATTCCCTTATAACATCTTACATATTTGTGTGTGTATATATTCCCCTAATATCTAGCAAATAGTAGACTTTATCTGAAGTAATAATTTAATTTTAATAGGAAAGAATGTGTATGTATGTCATAGGTCAAAGCTATAAAAGCACTATTCAGCAGACCTCTACAGCACTGTGCTTCCAGAACTGGACAGGAGCCTCCAGACTCATGTCAAGAGCAGAGATTTGGATTTCACCCACCAGCATCGGCCAGATCAAGAGGCTGGAGAGGATGCATAGCTGGGGACTTAAACCACGAGGGCAAAGCCTGCACTGCACGTACATGAAGCAGGAGAGGATGAGAGGTATTAGGGGGTTAAGAATCTTCACAGACTTAGTATGAGGACTGAGGAGTACAACTTTTAAAAGCTGCTGCATATTTGGAACAGTGGGAAGAATCTTGCTGCCCTGGGCAGCAGCTTTAAGAACTGCAAAAAGATTAAAAGGCAAAATTTTATCTTATTTTATTTTTATTCTAAGTCCTGATATTGACTTAAATGACAAAATGTAAATAATAATAAACAGGATCAGTGGGTCTGTAATTTATTAGCAGACAATAGTTTAATTTTTTTCTAAATTCAAGTGGTGCAAAATTATAATACTCAAAATACTAGTGAGACCAGAAGTACAAAGTAAAACTGTATCAAAGTAAAACTGTATCAAAGCAAATCCCAAAATTAAACTAGGAAAAGAAGTCTCTGGATGGGATCTCCAGAGTTATGCTGTAATCATGTAAAGTACCTGAACTATAAAATAACGTACATTTCTGAGCACTGATTTCTAAACAAGTGAACTTTACATAAAATAACAAATCCAGCATCTTTTAGAACTCTGGCAATTTATAGTTCACTAGGCTTAGCAAACCTCCAAGTGGAAAATACTTCTCAAATACTACTTGTCAGTTTATTAATAGCACAGAGACATGAAACTACAACTGTGAAACCTGATTTTTTTCAATGCCCTATGTCATGTATTATAATCCTCATCAACAATACTTAACTAAATCAGTGCTTTCTGTTCTATTCGAATTCTTATAAAGAGAAGAAAACTTAGTCACCTGCTGTGCATATTGTAAAGACAACTTGAACTGAGTCAAAGAAGAAGAACATAACTAGGAGAGACACAGACGCTCCGATTGGCAGGAACAACGCCTGGGTAGAATCAATGGTTTGAATACCTGCAGAAGAAAAGAGAGTGACATTTAACTTGGCTGTTCCTTAACCACACACACTGACAGCCTGCCCTCACCACCACACCTGGGGACCCTGACACTGTAATTCCATTTCAGCACTGGTGCAATAGAGACATTCACTCTGAGATCCTTGTGCACTGTCATAACTGAGCACAGCAGCCTGTACAGAAACACTCCAGCTGCACCACATGGTCACAGGGGCTGGGTGCACAGCAACAGCTCTGCTTGGCAGGACTCAAGAACTAGAAGCTGAAAGAAAATGTTTGATTTTTTTCTTGTTATTCATTCTATCTATGGTGCAAATTACAAAAATAAACATTATTTAAGGATTAGGAATAATATAGCAATTATATGATTGCATCATTTTACACTGAGCAATATAAACTTGTTGAAGAGGGCCTATGAAAGTTTTGCTTAACCTCTCAGCACAAGGTAAAGAGCCTGACCAACAGCAGAGCTGCAGACAGTGTAAGGCTGACCCAGCTCATGCAAAGGGTGCCACCGCTTCGAATTCCACTTGGGTGAAGGCCACCATGCACTTAAATTGCACCACTGATTGCAATCACCAGATAACATCAGCCCTAACAATGAAGGGCAGTTTTCAAAGAGCACGCAAGTCATGTACCTGGTTTTGAAGCTAACAGCTCAGTTCACCATGCCCTGCCATCGCCCTGTGTGCTATAACACGTGAGCATGATTTTTTGTTCATTTAGAGCTGGAAGCAATTTTAAACAGTGCAGAGATACTGAAGAGTTTTATTCTGATTACCTCCCCCACCTCAACCATGCAGTGTGACTACAAGGGAGATTAATTAGGGCACAGGACATTTTTTACAATATTTTACCATGAGTTTTTAGAACTACTAAGAAAACTGAGAAGATCAGGCTTTGAAAAGCCCACCCATCCCTGCAAATTCTCATAGTTAACCAGCCCCTGTAGCTGTATTTACCTTTGATCATGAGAGGGGGGAAGAAGCCATAAGTAGTAACGCAGTTAAAAATAAGGCATACTTATACTTGTAGAGCATTAAAATAACAGGTTACATCTGAAGTAGACACTTGATGAGAAGCATCCAAATGTCTCTAATGAAAAATTAATACAAGACTCAGACCTAGATGAGATCTAAAACCCGCTGAACATCACTAGGTTATTCCAAAATAATTAGACACTGCTGTATGAAGCACAGTGTTACTAGTCCCAGGATTTTAAGGATAAACTTTTAGGTTATCAAGCAGAGTATCTGTGCATATGCTATGTAGACACATATACAGAGACAAGCACATACAAGTAAATACACACGCACACATTGTTTCTGCATGTCAGAATGTGTCTAGTTTGTTTTTTCTGTGGAAGAGTGGCAAGTTGTCTAAATAATGGGTTACCTGCACAATTCATACTTACCAACCTATGTCCAAAAACCTCAACACATGAAATGCACTCACTACAACTTAGTCTCTGTCCTAAGTATTTACCCATTTTCATATGGAGTCCTGACATGTGCACTCTTACTCTTGCACATAAATAGCACAATAAATATGAAAAATAGAAAGCAGAACTCAAGTCACTTGGGGTTTCAATGTTACTCAGGTCTGGTACAAAAGGGTAAATAAAGTACAATATAGATAGTCCAGTGATGACAGTGCAAAATTTCTGTGTTCTAATCTGTGATTCAGATCTAGTTCCTCCTGTTTTGAGAACAGCATTTATTCACATGCCCTTCAACTTCCCAAGGGAAAAAACAAACAAAACGAAACCCCAGAAGTGGCATACTACAAACCACCTTGGCATATGGGAATTAGTGCCTGTAGTGTTACATGTCAAAGTGCTTCATCTCATTTCTGATCATTTTGACAGCTAATCCCCTTAATGTGCTTATTCCCCAGCTCCAGCCTGTCTTCTCTTACCACCCAGATGCCAAAAGCCTCAACTGTTCACTGCTGAATAACCAAGCACAGCAACCTATTTGCTCTGTGTTGCCAAGAGAAGCTGTACTCCAGCAACTATGTAAATTCCAAGAGCCTATATTAAAGAAAAAATACCCCCCCCAAAAGCAATATATGTTATTTAATTTATACTTTTACAAGTTATATTTCTTTCTTTAAACAAAGCAACCTTAGCATTCAGGGTTTCACGCACAGGGCTGCCCACGTATCTCACTCCTGCCTTCTAAACTTGCAGAAACCGTTTTAGAGCCTAAATTTATATGGCCAAGATATGGCCACATAAGTTGCTCTAACTTAAACTCATGTGTGAATTTACAGCACACCGTGTACAATGCATTCCACTCTAACTGTTCACATACATATTTTTACCTGCAAAACACTGCATCTCAAATGGCCAAGCTGCCTGGAATCTATTTATAGATTACAGAGGGGACAATCATCACATAGCAGTGGACACATTAAACCCCATTCTGAATAGACTGGTTTGTTGTCCATTATAAACGAGTTCCCCAAAGCCATGTGAACTCTATACTTTAATTTCTCTATTGACAAAGATGAATCATCCTTATGGACTTGATAGCATAGGATGAAATCTCTCATTGCTTATGGAGTGGCTAGTATGTCATCATGAGACACTCCAGACAAAAAGAAATTTCATTCCCTTCTCCTAACTGTGTGGTAGAGATTTTTGAAGTAAAGCCATTTCCATTTCCAGCAAAACCTGACCAAGTGTGCAGCATGCAATTTTTACGCATTATGGACATGCTACATTGATGTTTTAAACCCATGGGCATGAACTAGACAGCAGTATTAGTGCATGGCAAGATGGCAAGTGCCCAGACAAAACAGCTCCATTCCATCAGGTGAATCAACAATGCATGCAGCTGAAACATGTGGACAGATGAAGCAAAAGATGCAACATACTGAAGTACAGAAGAAAGATAAGGAGTAAAGCTAACCCTTACTGTTATTGGTGCTGTTGCCATTAAAAGACCCAGCTGTGCTGCTATTGTCCTTCTCTTTGTCTTGATTCTCAAAGTCCATGTTAAGAGACCTGCAGGAAACAAAGCAAACTTAACAGACAAGTTTTGAACTCATCAGCTACCATCTCCTTATCATTCTACCAACAGCACTCTGAAAAAGCCCTTTAATGCTAGTTACTAGAAAAAACACCACATATAGAGAATTAATAAATAAATAAATATATAAATAAAATAAACACTTACAGTTACAGATAAGGCACCAAGTTACACAGGTTCTAGCAGTGAGACCAGTCACCACAGAGTCTGAGCTGGTAAGCGTTAACAACAAACCATAACGAAGATACTGATCTGTGTTACTGGGAAGTGTTGAACATGATAGATATGCAATAAATGGTTCAATTCTCTGATGAATTTGAAGTCTTTCAAAGTTCTTATTTTGATTCTTTTCACTCAAATTCAACTATCAGGTTTCATTTTTAAAATAAGATTATTTCCTCCCTCTAAATCTTGTTATAAATGATGACCAAAACCAGCTTAAAAGTAATTGTCTGCTGAAGATAAGGTCTTACTTCACTGAATAAGTTTCAGCAAAGCCTAGGAAGTAACCAGATACACATTTTACATACACATAGAACAGATGACCAGAGGGAACTCTGAGTAAATAATACAAATTAATACAGGAACTGAGGACATTCCCCTATGTACCCAGCTCAGCCGTAATTGACTCATTTTTTCATTTTGATATACACACCTAAAAAGTTCCCAAATAACATTGTATTCTACCCGCTTTGCCAGAGTCCTTCACTTACATGCCAAAAGTTGTTGGAATACAATTTAGAAGTTGCATCACTTTCTGAAATGGGGGGATTTTGCTTAAGGTCTGCTTTGGCCAACAATTATTTATATCATTACATTCTACATTGTTTTCAGTAAAAATACTAGCAATCAAATTTACCATGATAGTCCCTCATTCTGATACACGCATGTTATCCATGATTTAGCTGCATATTTATGTATTACAATAATCTACAGAGAACCACCGGAAGCACTGTATGGTTCCCACCATACAGCTCCTGTCTTAAGTCTGCAGCAGCATAAAAGCATTCCAGAATAACTTCAAGGTCAACAGGCGTTATTAAACTCCTTTTCAAACTTAGGTGTAATTGCACTACGCAAAGTAAATAAATTCTATTTAAATTATCAGACATGTAAAAAATACACCACAATCTTCTATACAATTCTACAGGTATGAAAGTTATTTCATTTTAGTGTATATGTTAACTATGCAACGCACAAGTGAGCAATTCTGTGCTGCAGTCATACAAGCTGAAATCAAGCACTCACAGGTCTATAGTAGCATGACTACTGTGGGGTATTAAAGAAAGAGGGGTTCAGTAGTTTCACTGTACGGAACAAACATGAGAAAAAGGCTCTACCAGTATAAACCTGGTTCGTTTCTTCTGTTTCTGTTACGCAAGCAGTACGAAATTAAAGCAGCTTTTTGGCTCAGGCAAAATATGAGGAAGCTCCAACCTCAGACATACAGTACAGAGATTATGGATCATCAGCTAAAAAGTTATCGAAAATACAAAGAGGAAATGGAGAACACTAAAATTCTAACAAATTAACCTGTTTTCTTAGCTTATTCTTCTAAAGATCTCTCTGCTCTGCATTTTGTTTGGGGTGCCTTTATCCTTCGTTCACATTTCCTTTTTTCCCTGTTAATTCATTGTAGCCTCATAACTTTCCTCTCAAGCTATATAAAAATCTGGGAGGAGGCTGACAATCCTCTAGGACTTGATCCAAGATTCAGCCAAACAAGACAATTCTCTTCTCAGCGCAGCATTTCATTCCTCCCTGAGTTAGTGCAGTTTAGCAAGAACTTCACACCATCCTTCTCCCCATGGCACTGGGCAACTCATAATTTAAGGGACTGCTATCAGCAAAGAAAACTGGAAATAAACTATTAGATCTACTGCTTGTGAACAGCTTCAGCCGTTCTGCTTTCATTCCAATAATATCAGCAATAATTACCTACAAACATCTCTACCTCAAAAGTACACATAAATTAGGGAATTATTTTCACTTAGCAACACAACTGCTGGTCCAAGATCTCGGAATAATCTCCAACTGGTTTATGATGCGGCTCTTCCCTCTGCTACGAATTATCACTAACACAATAAAAAGTCGAGAAGTGATCACTAAAAGATCTTCCATGAAAACACCCTCCAAGAAAGTTAAAAATTATATTGTAGAACAAAACCTACTCAAAACTACTGGGCTGTAAAGAAATTGCAAGCCGAGAAACACTTGCTGTTTTGTTCCAGTTTCTGCCGGGCTTCCAAAGGCAGCATTCAGCCAGCACCTCCCATCAGGCAATAAACTACACAGTTGTTTCTCCTGTGGGCCCTCACAGCTCGAGTTGGTAGGATTTCTAGCACAGTGTTTCAAAGCAAGCAGCTCAGCCTCCCACGGGGAACCACTCAGTAGGGTTATACTAAGGCCAAAGGAATGAGTAAGCTGCTGGCACACTACTACCATGAAAGTTCAGATTCAGCTATGGATCACTACCACTGGAGTAATGCTTCAGGGAAACCCCGCAGGAGAATAGTCTTACGAAACAATGGAAGAAATATGAAAGCAAATATGTATCTATAGGGGTGCTTGCAGATGCAATATACTGAGAAGTTCCTTTTTGCTCTACTTTGGCAGGACAGTCACTAACCTTAACAACTCTGGGACTATGAGGATTGTGGGTTGCCACAGAATTGCCAGATTCTGATTGCTCTAAATAAAAAGTTACAATCAGAATCAGTCATTGACCTGAGACAAGTTAATTCAACCAACTCTTAATGCATATTACAGAGAGCAAGCCTGAAATGTGTTGTGTGCTATAACATGGCTAAAGTAATTTGTAGAACAGTCCTGTGACATTACAGGACAAGTTCCAATACCAGATCTGGAGTGGGAGTAAGAATAAGGGAAACAATAGCAGAAAGTGCACATAAAAATGTCTTCACTGCCTACGTGGAGTAAGACTGCCTGAGTCCCATGCCTCTGGTAAGAATATCTCATCTTCCAGGGGTACTTTATGTGCACCCACTCGTGCGTGCACATGCAGACAACCGTTGCTGTACCATTTGGTGAGAAGGACTATCCAAACCCTGGTTCCACCCTGCCAGCACTGCGGCTGTAGATGTTTATGAACTCCAAGCACAGCCTTTCTTTTTTTTACTGTGAAATATGTATCCTGATTTCCATAAATGTCAAGTCATAAAGCCAACCATAAGGATACCCTTTGAACTACTTTCTATTTATGCATGTACTTTAGGTACCGAAAGCCCAGACAGAAGACACCAGTTTCATTCCATGCTGCTTGGTTTGGTTTAAACACAGATACTTGAACAGGTTAGTTCTGGGTTAAATCTGGCTTTACATAAGCTGAGAGACCATGTCTGGATACGTGACAAGATAAGAAGATGATTTAGCTGCTTCCTGCCTGCAAAGTAACCCCAACATTTAAATGACAGAAAAGCACTTGGATGAGAATAGGTGACTGTCTTGCAAGAACTCATAGGAAACAACCTGTTTCAAGCTAAGCTCACTTCTTTAAAACCTCATTAACTAACACATATACTTGCATGCTCCAGTTTACAGCTTGTAATGGTTTAAAGGCTTATAGTTGCTCCTTTGGCAGTCGATAATAAAATACATCAGGAACTGAGAAACGTTAGGGAGGGCTTGAAGCTGAAACTCCTGAGCCAGTGGAAATGAGGGAAAGAAATGCTCACTCATTGACAGCAAGAGAAGCAGAAACTGATTTAAACTGTTCTGCATTCTGGATGTGGACTTTCCCCATGATCCATAAAGCATTCTTCTGAATATCTTTAGGGTTTTGAGGGTTTTTTTGGCATGTTTTGGTTTTGGACAAATGCTGCTTGTATGAATAAGGACAGTGGACCAAGCATTTCCTCTGTTCCCCTGAAACCTCTTGCATTAGATTAGATCCACCACACACGTGGATTTTATCCTAATGACTCACCCACCCAATTCTTCCTGATCCTATTACTGCACTTGAGTTTAAGTCACTTGCCACAGCAATACCACAATAACTCTATTTGCTGCTTTTCAAACTGAAAATCAGAAACCAAACCCACTTTCTGCAACATGAAGGTTAACTAAGAAGTGCTATTGGTTTTTGTCTTATGACAGCTCCATTTAAGATGAAACACTCAAATCTAGATGAGGATACCATTGCTGTCTTTTGAGAATGAGCACCCTGGGCCGTAACATTCCTCTTTCTGGCAAGTCACTTTTCTAAGAAAATTAAGAAAATCCACCCACTTTGCCAGAAGTTTTTAATTTACTACTTTAGGAATTTCCAAGACAAATACAATTTTGCCATTTACTACCACACTTGATTTCTTAACACCACTGTACAACTTTTTGTAAAAAACTGCTTTTGTCCTCACTTGCTCACCAAACAGAATAGGTATTTGTCCAAGCCACCACCATAACTGCAGGTTTCAGCTCAGACATCTGTTAAGGAAACTACTTATAGGAAAGTAAATGTAAAACTATGGGACCCCAGCTTGGTCTGTAAGAGTTTGCATCTTGGGGTCTTGAAGATTATGTGCAAAGGAAGTGGATTAGAACAGGCCATTTCCTCCACAGGTTTGTATCACCATTCCACTACTTCATCCAGTAAATTAGACTGCTCTGAAGTTTGCAGTCCTTGTTGCATGAGCAATTCTAAATGTAAAACTTCAGACAAGATGGTAAAAGAGCATGTGTATATAAGAACAGGATGGCAAATAGCAGGAGGAGATTTTTAAGGGCAAGGAGCTCTGAGAAGGGCAGTCAGTTTAAGCTCAAGCACTCCTGCTGGTTTATACTGCATTATGTTTTCACAACTGAATTGTAATAAATGCTTCTTAACAGCTTCTTGCTATGTTCTTTTTACAAAACTGCATAAATTCAAATGATTGCAAATTGAATTAGTCCCTCAACTTACCCAAAACTTGACAAAAAATATCAAGCAAAACCAACCTTTTGTTTCTATTTTCATCATCTCTAGATTTTGTTTTCTATTTCCATCAGCAGTGCTGTTACCTAATCCTTGTTAAGAGCTCTTACCAAAAATTGGCTCTTTCATTATATGATCTTATTAACTTATGATGGCAATTTAAAACCTCTCATCCTAACAGCTGCAGCTTACATCATATGTATGACCACAGCTATCATCTATTTCAGGAATAGTCATAGCAGTTCAGAGACTTCACAGTGAATGTATGGCCTTTTATCATAGACTTGTTAAATGAAGCAATGCTCTTCAAGAAACAGAAAGAAAAACATGCTGTACTTAAGTTTGAAAAAAATAATGCTTTCATGCTGTGATTAATTTTTGTTTTAATATGTCAGTACACACTTCATTCCTTAGGGGCCACTACATTAAACCAAACTCTAATACAAAATGCAAGTCTAAAGGGACAACTGTGTTTTCTCTAAACTATAGTTAAGTCTCTTAAAATGGGGCAAATCTCATTTTTGAAGGTTCAACTTTATCCTGCAGCAGTTCTCAGACACTCTGCTGGAATACAACACTGATGGTGTTTCCCACTTCTGTATTAAGGTGTTACTCACACTCAAGTAAATAGCACTGGGACTTTGGAATCTTGTTGTACAAGACTTGTTTTACAAGCAATCATAAGGACCTGCTGAATCAACCAACACTGAAATATAACATATACCAATGACATTGCATCCTATCTCTCAACAAGACTTTCAAACCCTCCAAAATCCAGTTTTACAAAGCTGTCCTCAAGGACTAACTGCTAAGTTATCTTCTATGTTCTTGTAACTTGACATAAAATTATGTCTTTCAGAAATCACAACTAGATTTTTTTTGTTCCTTTTCCATTTCCTTTTCAGAAGCAAGAAATATTTGGCATCAGTCTGACAAAGATACAATGAAACCAAAGGCATAAATTCTGTTTAGTCACTCACCATATTTTTATTAGAAAAAGAAAAATTCTTGAGAACCTTGAAGAAAAATCTTACCTGAAACTGCCGTAGACTATGAGGAGAATAGAAATCAGGAAGGTAGACACTTGACTGGAATCCACAAGGGAATATGCCCTGGAATTAGGAAAAAGAAGGCGTCACAAGTGTCCATTTCTGCAGTACCATTTACAACTCTTTTTCTCACTATAATACAAATAGAGGATGGATGACAAATCTTTATGGCAGCTCTCTCCAAGGTTCCCATATCATCTGGGAATGTAAAACCTGTAGCTTGTAAATTAACTTTTTATATTCAAGACGACAGCATGCAAAATCTGTGCAACAATCAAAGAACAATTTAAAAGCCTTGTGGTAATTTATTCTGAACCCACCACACTTGTTTGTCTTCTCAAACAAGTTAAAACTTCTTCAATTGCAGCTAAGGCAACCTTGCATGGAGATGACACTAACCTGGTTTCTGTAAGACTTCTCATGTCTTAACTGATCTAGTTAAGTTGCAATGTGGCAGGTCAAGGTTCACTTAGTTCAGAAAAAAACCCAACAAAACCAGTACAAACCACCAAACCTCACAACACCCTGCAATATGCATTTATTAAACCAAACACAATGAATTCCCTATTACATCTTAAAGACCACTTGATACAGGATTACAGACAGAAATTTCAGCAGGAGCTTAAAACCCAGCTTTGAGATCAATTTCCTGGTACAACACACCTATATGTTCAAAGCACAGAAATACAAATATTAATATCTGCTGATTTTTTCACTATCCTTGACAGACCAAACCCTACTCTGTACCTTACACTGAAACTTCTTTTGACCCACACACAGGAACAGAAGGCAACCTCAGCAAGTCCCCAGCTGACAACCAGCTGGGGAGAGTGGGGCTGATATCCTAGTGGACAGAAAATTCTGTAAGGGGGACCTTGAGGAATGGACCAACGTGACAATAAGAGCTCGCAACCCAAGAGAAATTATCTCTCTGCTTGGCACTTGTGAAGCTGTATTTCTAGTGCTGCCTGCAGGTTTGGGAGGCCTAACACAGAAAACCACTGGCACACTGGAGTAAGCCAAGCAGAGGGCCACCACACTGGCAGGGATATGACAGACATGGGGAGGCTCTGGAGGTCACACTACAACTCCCAACAGTTCTTCCACAACTTGCACTGAAGTAACGGGAAGGGAAGAGAATAATGCCCAATGTTAACTGCATTAGTGGTATCCTGCAAAAATGAGAACTAAACATTTCTGAAAACCAAACGAAAAGCCTAATTTCAGCAAGACTATGGATATGGAACAGAGATAACTGAATTACATGATCGTTCCAAATTAAATATCTCTAAGCAAATAAAAACTAAAGATACCAGACAGTTAAAGAATCACTCGTCCCACTCCCAATTCAAAAGCAATTTAGAGAAAATTACCAAACCACTAGACATACACTTTAAAATAATATACAAACACAAATGTGAATCTTCTACTACAGAAATTCAGTATTAAAGATCACTGAAAAACAGACTGCCTCTTTTAGATGGAATTATGGACTTGTGGAACAAGGTTTTTCAGAAGCAAGAAACTATTTAGGTTAATCACATAAATAACTTCAGCATAACCCCACACTGAAAGTAAAATACAGATGTCTTATTTGCTCATGAAGTTGGCCAACACATAAAGATGATGTGAAATTCTGGAGTTCAGTCATGTTTGACCTTTAGTTTCCAGGCTGGGGAACAGAGATCTTAAAAGCATCCATGAAGATCAATATATTGAATTGCAAATACATGCAATATGTAACTAAACACTTAGTATATATATATAAATGCTGATTATAGACAACATAGTTCATAGCGTGTTATTTTTAGCCAATGATTACAGCTAAGCACACACCAAGAAACAGCTTAAGGATGAGCACCCTAGTTTTATGTCCTGTTACTAGCTTCAGAGAGAAGCATTCCTTCCCCAACCTTGAACAAAGGGAAAGGGAAACTTTGTATGATGTGTGGATTTGAGAGTCAATAGTGGAATTCATCTATTACAAGAACATTCAGGAACTCCAAGTTGATAAGAAAAGCAAAATGATTAAATGGAATTTCAACTGGGATTAGACACATGCAGGGTTATGCACTAAACTTTATTTACTGATGTTCATAAAATTCTGTCTTCATAAATTGGCAAATACTTTTGAGATGAACAATATTTTCTATATAATTCATCATTCAGCGGCAACTTTGGAAGCTATGATAATTAAAATGCCATTTCATCATAATTACTAAACATTAGTCAAAACAAGGCTGTAAATGTTAGATTTATAAAACAAAATAAGGATGATACATGGATCATGGATCAGCCCTGAGCATAATCCATTAAGTTTTGTATTAAAACAAGGGCCCTTTGGTACAATGAAAGAAATTGAATACATATAAACTCATTCTAAACAATGATATCATACACCATAACCCTACTGATAGACTGCAGTGATGATGAGGACAGCTATCTGCTGATTCTGTGCAAGGGGGAAACATGAATTAAAGACTTTCCATCCTGCACAAGAACAGTGCAATAGTGTAATTATAAACTCATCACAGACCAGTGATGCTTCCTGACTCCTCCACACAGATCTTACAGCAGGGCATCCTAAAAACTCTATGCTGGTATCAGGAAAAATTACGTTCCCTCATACTCCAGCAAACAGGGCCAGGGAGATACAGTCACACTTTCCTTCTTCCTAAGGCAGCTGGAAAAAGAGCAACACAAAATAGACACAGCATGACAACTCTGAGAGTAATTGCATGGCAGGAATCAAGCAAGCAGCTCAGGCAGGTCCAGATTCCATTTGAAGTTTCCAACACAAGTAGCCCACAAGCAAACCTCAAGAATAACTTCACAATGCTGAAGGGAATCTCATCGTAATATACCCCTACAGTTTTTAACATTCTATAAGGTACAACACAGAACCTGAAAACAGAACTGCTTCCCAAAATCCTAATCACTGGAAAGTTCATTAAGAACCCTTAACCCCAAATAAACACTTTCTAATGCATTAATCTAGACTAGAGATAATAAGCAGATGACAGCATTACAGAAAAGAAAAGAATCGAGAAGCAAGGCTGCTTCAAAGATTTGAATGTTATTCAAAATGCCAGTGATCTGCAAATCCACTTGTATTTTTAACTGAAATTTAAATGACCTTCTATAAGTTCAACAGTCCATCTGCATATAACTGGGTCCTCCTATAAGTCTATTTCAAGTATGCAAGTTCACATACTCCCACAGCCAAACACAGCATCAGTGCTATGTTCTTCTCCAATGGGATCAGCCAAAACCAAAAGAAAAACCTACACTAATGACATTTTTCAGAAGCTGGATTAGACTTTGTGCAGCCACGTTTTACCAGCCTTCCATTGCACCTATAAAAATGAAACCATCTTCCTTCTACAAGGTACTTGTGTAAAATTAAGTGTTTTATCTCAGAACAAGTAGCAGTAAATGTACAGAAAAATACCTGTAACAAACCCAGGCGTTGTTGCCCTTTGACTTAAAAACTGATTTTAGAAGCAATTCTTAGTACTTACTACATGACAATCCATGAAGACAAGATTGTTATTCCTCACTCTCATTCTGAAAGTTAATGCTGGATATGGCCATGCTAAAGATTGCTGTCTTGTGAAGGACTTCAGTGCAGTTCACATGTGTTATGTTACAAGAACAACTACCTACCAACCCATTTCTATACTCTGGTATATATGCAGAACACTGCTAAAAATACAGAAGACAACCAGTGGTTTTCTGAGGGAAATACCTTTTTTAGGATTCTTATGTTGCAACACCTGAAATTCAACATCCTTATAAGAAAGCCTGATTAAATAACTTACTTCTAAACCAACTATCAGACAGATTCTCACTCAGTCAAGTAACAAATAACTAATTATTAGACACAAGTATTTTATGAAATCGAACACACTGATGGCTCACTTTTCTCTGCAAGCTCCTTTTCTCAGCCAGCTAGTGAGAGATGACTTCCCAAATGCCTTCTCTGTAACTCAAGATCTCACCCTGAACCTGCATCTTTACATGGCTGAGCTCGATTTTAGCAAATTCTCTGCCATTAGGCATCTATTTCTGGCAGCTTCATGGGCAAGTGCTTACAACAGAGCCTGCTAAGGCATGCCAAGACAGAGACACAGCAAGCACTGTTCTGTAACATATTCTGTGGGTCAGCCCTTCAGCTATACAGTGAAAGTATTGTCCAGACAACAATCCAAGCAGTGAGCTCTCCAGCCTGGCACGGACTGCTCCATGGACCTTTACCTACAGAACAATTCCAGGGATGCCCAGCCACTGTGACACACCACCACTTCCATGCATCCCAGAGAGTAACCATGCAAAATACACCACACCAGTTACAGCTGGCGTTCCGAGCAGCACTCTCCCTTCTTCTGGGAAAAAAAAATGAATAACTTCTGTATTCCCAAGGGAACAGAGACCTGCTTCATTCCCAGCTAGAGAAGATGGTACACAGCTAATAAAAGTTGCAACAACAGTAATAGCATTAGAGACACACACTCTCTTTTCTGTGTTATCAGTAGCTGCAGGTCAAGCCCTCTTTTCCCCCACTACCACAGGTCCAAACTTACCTGTCCTTGTGAACAATTCACCTTACAGGGTCTCTGCCATCTGCTGGCTTAGGAATTTCCTGTAAAATCCTCTCTTTTAGTCCTAGTGTTTTCCAATAATGTACTTTCTATTTCTCTGTTTTCATTATTTCCTTTGCTCTTCCATTGAGGGAACACTGGTTTTCATATGTCAGCTCTTCCTCACCATCAAGAGAAAAGCAGTTTCTTGCCAAGAGTCTCAGCAGACTTTCCAAACCAGCAGCAGGATTCCCTTAGGCAAAGCCTGGTATTTCTTTTTGCCTCCCGCATTGAGCAAGAAGTACCTCCAGCTTGCTTTGTTCAGTGAAGACCCAGATAAAGATAGAACTAGGAACCAAACTCGTCTCCTGATGACAGTGCAGTGTGTTACCCTCTACATAACCTACTCGTCATGGGCCAGTTTGAAATCATCACAGTCCAACCTGCTGTTACAAAAGCAACTTCTCTCCTTTTGCCAGTCAC